GGAGCCCCCGTGAAGATTTGCTGACAGCACAAATGGCATGGAAGTTATCCATTTCATGACAGCAGAAGTTTCTGGCTGGTGAATCCTATTCATATATGGCCAAAACTGGTCTGGAAAGTTTCTGTTTAGATCAACATTTCTGGCATTTTCACGAGTATCTCGCTCATATCCATCAGGGTTCATTGAGGGCATGATATGGATGCGAGTGTAATCTACAAGTGCTGTTATTGCAGGTACTTTGCCGTAGTTCTCACAAAGGGCTTGAATTAAAAGCAAAAGGGTTTCTCTTCCAACAACCTCGTCACCATGCATGTTTCCAACGTACTTAAACTCTGGTTCTCCTGGTTCATGAATTCCTGGGTTGTCAGTAATTTCAATCACCCACAACTCCCTTCCTTGCACTGACTTTCCAACTGAGTACAGCTTAGTGATATTTGGATACAACTTTATTATTGTCTGTAGAAATGTTGTCATGTCATGAAAATTATGGTTTTTGAATATCCTTGGTTTCTCCCAGTCATTAACAACTTGAGTGTAATCTTTACTGGTAAGGCTGATACTTGTGAAGGGAACTTCAACTTTATGGTTAGCAAGTTGAGAGATGGAAGACAGATCTCTCCTGGTTCTAAAGAACCGTTCTGTGAGCCATGGTACATGACGCAAAGGGGTATCTCTCTGATTTTCATTTCTCTCTAACACAAATTCTAATGGTGTAGCTTCTTCAGAGCTCACACTAACATTACTCAGTGTTTGGCAATTGTGTCCTGAAGCATAAACACTGACTGTATACACCCCTGGCAACAAAAGACGCCAGAAGTCACCATGCAATGTTGTTGTTATGTTATGATCTATTCCATGCACATGAACCACTGCATTTTGGATACCAACCCCATGTTGATCTTTGACAAACCCTTTGATTCCTCTATGCACTTGTTCTATGTATGCCAACAACGCCTCGCGATTGTTATTCCACTCTCTTGGCAAATGGCTTTTGGATGGATATTTACAACAGGATAATTCAAGTGTGATTTCAAAGCAATTGCTAATCAGGTAGTTGACGTCTTGCATGCCACCCGAGACATCATACCAGTAGGCACCGTTAGTAATACCCCCTGTAAACTGGCCACGGGTGCAGTCTCTTTTCCCCATTTTACCCATTGTCGGGTGTTTCGTGGCATAAACGCTAGCTAAATGTCTGAAGAGATTATCATCCGGTGATGCACTGTATCCACCAGACCTTATGTGTTCTTTATTGCTATCATATGGATAGCTTGCTACAAGGGACCCACCGTGTAAATTCGCCGACAATACGAAAGGAGTTTCCAGAATCCACTTCAACATGGCTTTTGTTTCCGGTTGGGCTGATCTGACATTGTAGTCGTTCCAATTATTGAACTGATCGGGAAAATTACGATTTAAATCGACACCGTTACGATTAGGACGTCCAATTTCACCAAGGCAAATACCTTCTATTGCTTTTTCAAAGCCATCCGGGTTCATTGAAGGCATAATAAATATATCAGTGTTGTTAACCAACTTAGTGACTCGATCGTTTTGACCATAATTTTCGAGTAAGTAAGCAATGAGATAAATCAGCACTTGTCTGCCCACTGCTTCATTTCCGTGCATGTTTCCGACATATTTGAACATCGGTTTTCCTGGCTTCCTTATCCGTGGATTTTCAGTTATTTGAATGGCGAGCAATTCACGATTGTACACTGATTTGCCAATTCTGTGTAGACGGGCGATGTTGCGATGTTGATACACGAGAGATCGGAGCAAACATTTCAGATCTTCGTTATGAATGTAGCCTTCGTGTACTAAAGACGAGACAATTCTCTTCCTCCGAACATCACAAAATCCTCCAGATTTAGTTCCAGTAATGTAGGAAGAAATTACAATTACTATTATTATGAAAACATAGTTGACGGCCGCCATTTTTTTGTGCTATGGTGGTCGGGAGTTACTACATCACGGGCGACGAGCGGGGATAGAAAAAACGACCCAAATATGAGCGGTCAGCGGTGAAACAGCTTTTATACTTCATATAGAAACATAATTTGTTGTTCCAGAGACAATCGTGTTGTAAAGCCGAAATGTTAACAGTTTACTTCACAGTTTAAGCAATTTTTCAAAAGTGTTGATTGAACTCATATCTCTTACTGCTTTAATAAACAATGGAGGCTTCGGAGAGGGAGTCAGTGGCATTTGGAAAGGCACCAAGAATAATTATATATATGGTTTCTAGCTAGCTGGTCTGTAAGATTTGCAAAGACGACGATGGAGAGGATTGGCTTGGGTGCGATAGCTGCGGCCAGTTTTTCCATGCAAGTTGTCTGGATGTGCCTTTCGCGGAGACGCCTACGCAACATTTCACCTGCCCTTAGGGTGGCTTCTTGTCAGCACAAGTAGAGTTTAACTTTTAAAGCTGACTATAACAACGAACCAGATGATGAACTTAATGTCATGTACAGACCTTAATTTGCAAGATAAGAAATACAGTCCTTGGTAGTCAATTAAGATAGATTTTCACGAGCGTCAATGGTGCAGAATCGTAACTTGATGGAGCCAACAGTGGACAACATCCCAGAATTCAAACTTTGTGATTTTTTTCTCGGCTTAAAAGCTAAGTCAGTTGTTCAATTGAATAGGAAGAAAAACATTTCGAACGGAAAACAGCATTATTTGCACGTGTGGATCTTTTGAGAAAAGGTCTCCTAAACGAGTGGTCTTGATTGTAAATTTCTCATCTTAGGCTATGGATATAAAAATTCAAGTGAAAAGGAAGCCAACTGTGATTAATGCTTTGAACAAGTCAAGATACGTTTTTTTCGTCACACAACAAGTTACATAACGTGAATATCATTCTTCTTGATCCCTTTCCCGGTGTCACCTATGCCTTTCCCGATGCCTCCGTTGGTTAATAGAGCATTAAAAGTATTTTTCCAGTTAAAGCTTGAGGAAAATTGCTTAACTTTTTAAGTAGCGAAGTGTAACTTGGTAACATTTCGGCTTTACAACACGATTGTTTTCTGCAACTACAAAACGTACATTTAATTCTTCTTGGTACCTTTCGGATGCCACTGATGCCTTCATTGTTTATTAAAGCAGTAAAAGATATATGTACAATCAACACTTGAATTGCTTAACATTTTATTTAGCGAAGTTAACTGTTTACACTTCGGCTTTACAACACGATTGTTTCCTCATACTACAAATGATATGTCTATATATGAAGTATGAAAGTTGTTTCACCGCTGACCACTCGTGTTTGGGTCGTTTTTTCTATCCCCGCTCGTCGCCCGTGATGTAGTAACTCCCATGGTGGTCGCTTTCCTTATTGACACGTGACAGTCGGCAAATAAAAGTCGCTCACCCCGTTTAAGATTTTAAATGGATCAGTAAATAACAACTTCCGGTTTAGATCACAGCCGTTATTTTATCTCAGCTTCTCAACGATGCAAAATCATCAGTCTTAAATATGTTTCAATGGAAGGTTTACTTTACATACATCGATCGCTATTTCATTGCCGTGTCAAAAAATTAATAATTCTGATGTGCAAATAAAGCTTTGTAAATAGCAGCCAACCATGACATTTTTTCTCTGATTGGATTTTTATTAAACTTATGTACCTCTAGTATTACTTAAACGGAAGCTAAATTATCATCAGCAAATCAGGAAGATTCGAACTGATTACAGCTTCCTTCTTGTTTACTGAATTTGGCGAGTGAAATACGTGTAAATTCCATTTTACTTTCTCGAATATTCTTATAACCAGACCGCAGACCGTAATTACCATAGAATATTGACTGTTGTAGAATTTAAACAGTTTTTGCTGTTGTACCCGTTGTCGTTTGATATATGATTAAATCATTCTTTTAAACATTTCACTGTATTTTGAACCGGAGAATATAGAGAGTTTGTGTCTTTTTCAAAGCAAAAAACAGCTATATATAAATTTCATGTTAAACGCATTCGACTCCTACCCAAGACTCAATGAGAATGTTGATTTTTTTATCCGTTTGGTTTTCACAATATTCTGTTTATACAGTTGCTTCGTCACTTCTTAATCACGCAGTAGCACATAATTTTCATAGTATTGCCGCCAACTTTTACAGGTGTGATTATAAATACATATAAAACATCTTGGTTTGGTGACAATTTTTAAATGAAATGAATAAATCAATAAATTATTTCAGTGGAGGAACTTAAGCGTACATATTTCTGCTTTAAAAGAAAAAAAACTTAAACCCATCGCACTAGCTATGGCTTCCTTTTGTCATACTTCCTTGCCCTTAATTTCTCAATTAGTGAACAACTCTCCTACTTTCATAACTTTGACAATTTATCATCATGACATCCATTGACCTTACCGAAAAGTGTCGCATGATTGACACACAATTGATTTCATCATTACCAAACTGAAACCAAAGAGGTCGATGACCTATCTTTTATTTTGTAATTTTTCATCGTATACCGACATAGTGAATACTATGGCGGTTTCTTTATTCCTTTATTATTAATTCTGGTGATCGGTTCATTAAGAATAGAATTAGATTTTATTCAGCTGAGTTTTCGACACAGTGTGCGTTCAATTATTCTGAGGTCAGTTGCGTCAGTTGAATGGGTAATAATTTTATTAGTTTGTATTTCTACAACTGAAATTATTCATAAGACTTCGACGCAGCTTTTTTTCCCAATCATCTTTTTACAAAACGCGTTTGATTGAAGCATCAACTCTATGCTTTAAAATAAAATACTTATCGCTGAGCATGGAGCTCATTCATACGTATAACGCATTACATCTTTAACATCACGATGATCCAAGAAATCTATTTTGCTTCACCCTTAAAATTACACCCTAACATTGGTATTCAAATTCTCCAATCTGTTCTCTTTACTTTTCCTATGGTACTGACAACGCGAATTGTTCAACGATCGGGACCTTCTTAAATTGGTTATTATTTGCTTTATTCTCATGAACTTTACATTTGATTTAAGGCTGATACTGTAAGGAGAAATTAGTGTCCAAGCGCTCTTTGAGGTTAAAGGGCTAACCTAGTATGCATTTATGACGTAACCCGGCTGATCTCTCGTGCAAGGATTTAAAGTTTAAGTCGCTAGTTTATTTTGCTTGTGACGTTTGATGGTTTATCGTGGTTCTGTTTTAAAACAGTTCCATTTATATTTGGGGCGATTCCTTTAATGACAGCGACGTTTAGTTTTCCTTTTGTGATTTTCTTGACACTTTTTACATTACTGACGACATTAGTGCGGTGTGATCCGTCATAACTTTTTTCTTCAGCGGAAGTTTTCCCTTTTCGTTTTCCGTGCTTGGTACTTTTCAGAGCCGCAGACACTCCAGCAGAAGTTATGTTTGTGTGAACCGGCCCTTTCTGAATATTCCACTTGTCTTGCAATTCATACGCAGAATCGTTAAGTCTATGTGTATTGACGGGTTCGCCGGGTATTTCGTCTCTGTTCCTCATTGTCTTGGTATAGTGTGTGTTTTTCCGTATCACTTTTTTAACGTAGAATTTTTTATCATTTTGGTGGGTTACATTCCTTTGTGGGGTAGGTAGGGGGGTTGTTATGTTACCAACAATCGATGTGTTGTGGTGAGAACTCGTGTCGTTGCTCAGCTTTGCGATGATTTTCCTGCCTCTTGCATCCTTCTTCATTTTCTTGTTACTTTGATCCAAAGAAGGAAATTTCTTGTGGTTCTTTTTACCTTCCACAAGTGAACTATTTCTTGGATGACCTCTGTGTTTCGGTATTTTATTGCGACTGAACACTCCTAGCCTACCTGGCGGTTGACTCTTAGCCGTACTAGAAACCTGAGGCTTGACCCTTTGAATCGCTTTTCGTTTCTGGCTTATCAACGCATTTTCGTCTGCAACCATTTTTTGAACTGCTCGCACTGTGGGGTCATCCTCAATGGAAGGTAAATTCAACTCTTTAAGCTCTTCACCGATGGTATTCATTTCGTTCCCAGGCCTCCACTGTTCAGCACCCATTTGAGGCTCCAAGCTTGTCTTCGTGGGGCTCACGTCGAAAGGTAATTGGGCACGCATGCGCTCTTGTGCTGGATTCCAATTGAAGTTACTTGCTTCTGTACGTGGCTGTTCCTGAATATTTTCGAACACGCCACTATCAGCATATTTGGGTAGTGTCGGTGATGAGACAGGAAAGCTTGCATATACGTTGCTGGTATACTTTGTTGCGGGAAGCTCTGTTTTCCAAGGTTTTTTCAGCTCCTCTTCCTTTACTTTTGTACCACTAGTGTTCATTTTACTGACTGTGCTGCTACTTGTAGGGAGTGTGCCCTTCGGTGAAGCTTCTTCGCCTTGATCGTCCTCAAGTCTTAACTTCTTTGAATAGGTGTTCAGAACTTTCAACAAAGCCTTGATTGAGGTTGATATTTCTCGTATTTCAGCTGCAGTTGGTGTGGTGTCGCCTCCTTGTGTGATAGTAGTAGAACTTGGTTTGTTAAGGCTAGAATTGTAATCATTAGAAGGTGACACTTTTGAAACGATACTTTCGGTTTCTCTACTTTTAGAATCGGTTGAAAGTGTTAAATCTGAGGCTATTGGTAAAACTTTGTCTTCGAAAGATTTTGTCTCGCCATTGTTAGAGGCCAAGGATCCAGGGGAGAGCTCTGGAATCGACGTCAAGGCAGCAGATAGATCAGCGGGTGTGAAGGATGACTGGTCAGTATTTCCTGCTATTCTACCTATGGCATTCATTTGCAAATTTAGGGGAAGATCTGGGTTTGAGGGCTTCTGGGTATTTTCCTCAGTTTCAGGATTTAACTCAGGGGAAGCCGAGATGGTCGTTAATTTTCCGTCATCATCTGATGGCAAAGCTACTTCAGGCTTCCTTGTGTCTGCGGTAAAATCAGATTCCACCTTTGGTTCCTCTTTGATTATTCTTTGTGTAAAGGAATGCTCTTTATCTTTCGCATGAGTGGCGTTTATTTTACCTAGTGTTACCACTGATTGAACGTTGAGGTAATGTGGCACTTTGTTATTACGTAATCCGGTTTGTATCGTTGACGTTTCATCGGGTGGCTGGGAGGGCGTGGGAACGTCATCTAACGTTTCCAAAGTTAACGTTACTGTCTGATCACCGGAGTCAATTTTCTGGGTTCCTCCAGCTGTAACTTTGGCTTTTTCATTGGGTAAAACGTCTTTCGTATTATTCTGTTGCAAAGTAACTTTAATAGGCAATTTCGTAGACTTATTCAGCTCACTGGATCGATTACTGCTGCTGGTATTGCTGGTAACATTTGCTGAGTGATCTGTGGGTGCTTGCAGTATAGCGTCTCCACTAGAAAAGTCGCTTATCTTATGGTCATTTGGAAATTTATCAATACCACTTTCGTCGTATTTTATTAATGGCTTGTGTTTTGAAGAGTTCCCCTCTTTGACCTCATTAAGATCTAATAGACTTGCTGCAATCACCGTCATCAAATCATCGATATGAGGACTCACTTTAGAATGTTTATTACCAGGTTTAGCATTCTTTGGAAGGCTTTTAGCTCTCTCAGATATCTCCATACTGTTCATGAAATCCATTAAGGTGTTATTCCGAATGCTTTTAGATACATTCTTTTTTTCATAGCTTGAGAAGGAGAGTTTTTGTTTACTCTGTTCACCTAAAGGATGTTGAACCAGTTGTGTGTGATTATTGTGCGTCAGGTCAATTCTGCTGCTATCTTTATTCAGTGCTTTGTTAGCTCCAGAAGAATTTTTGACGAGCGTTTTGTTTTGTTTTCCGCTCAAGATTTCTGCAAGGACCTTACTTTCCATGACAGCTAGCGGATCTTCTGGGGGTGGGAGCTTGTTAATGCGCCCTCCAAGAAGTACTCCTTTAAAGTTAACGAGAGTATTAGTTGACACAAATGACGAACGGTTCGTGGAATTTCTTCTGTGTAGTCCATGGCGCTTCGAAAGTGCTCCAAGCAGTTCGTTCACAGCTTCAGTAAAAAGAGCAGACGTTTTGATATCGTTAAATCTGCTGTTTTGACCCGCAGCGCCTTTTGACAACTGGGAAGTCAAATTACCTGGAACTGTTGCACCTTTACCGGCAAAGTTTTTTGCAACTCCCAGCAGTGTAACTGGTCTTTTCATTTTGCTGTTTCCCTTTAAATATTCTGATATGTTTCTTGCAATGTCTGCAAACGGACCTCCACTCTTATCCCATCGTTTCACTAACTGCTTCAATGTACCCTTTCTCATGGCGTTATCAATCAGCCTAGTTAAAATATCTTGCAACGCTTGCAGCTCCTTGTCCGTGGCTGGAAGAAATCCTTTTGATGATCCTTGGCTGGAATGAATGGTTGCTACTTCTTCTCGTGTTTGTGCCCCAACATCTTCACCTAACTTTCCCGATAAAAGGAGCGGTAACAACGCGGATGGAGTTGGCCTCTTAGAATCGTTCTTTCTTCCTGCAGTTTCAGCCAGCTCTATCGCCTGATTTATCTTGCTTTGCAAAGTTTGTAAGTCTTTTGAACTTAACCCTTTATTCCCTTTTATCCCCTCAATTGAGTTCGAATCCTCATCCTTTTTTCGAACGAGAGGAGTTTCCTTCTCTACCTCTGTATCGGGTGTATCCCAACCTAAGAGGGATCCTATCATATTCATGTCTTGCGTGAACTCATAACTTTGATGATGACGACGATGATGCGTATGATGCTTTCTACGTCTGTCTCGCCCTGAAGAGACTGGTTCCTCTGAGCTGGGCGAGATTTCTTCCTGCTTGTTTTCTCCTTGGCTTTCCTCTGGCGATAGTCGCGTTGTTAAAGCATCCAATGCATCGCTTAGAGTTTCTAGTGTGGCAATCTTTTCATTTAGCTTCCTAATTTTCTCTTTGGTTCGCTGCTTGTGACTCTCTTTTGATGACTGAACTTCTGTTTTTGTACCTTGTAATTCATTTGGAGCCTCCTGATCGTTGTTTAAAGCTTTGGATAAATCAGCCAATGAAAATTCTTTATTTCCTATAGAAATCGTCGCAGAGGACATTTTGTTGTTACCCTTAGTGGCTATCTGTTCATTGTCCTTGTTTGCGGCCGAAATTCTTGCTGGTCCATGGCCTGACGGTTGATGTATCAGGCCGGATAGGAGATTTGCGATCGTGTGTTCGTTTGTTGATGTCTTACTGACTGAAGGTGGGCTTGCTTGAACAGCAGAGCCAAAATGCTGCGCCATTATGTTTTTGTATGAAGAATCCTCGGTTCTACCCGAGTCAAGTAGACTTTTCGACAACGTTTGTCCAAATTTGCTCGTCAAAAAAGTTTTTATAAGGCTCTCAAATGGCTCTATTGTAGTAGAGACTTGCGGGTTTGGTGATTGATTCATTGAAGACTCTAAAGATGTTTGTGGAGGGGAATTTTTAGACAGAGGCGATATCGCATTTAAGACATCGTGAACGTTCGCTTCATTAGATGATACTGACTTCATGGAGGAAGTTGGATTTACACGTGAGATAACCTCAGGTTTTTTTGTGGGAGACTCCTGGCTATTACCCACGCCCGGTTCAGAGTTCAAAGCGAGGTTAGCCACAGGCAGCTTTCTTGATAGTGTTATACCCTTGTGTTTCGCGAGTGAAGAAGCTCCAATGCCACCTTGAGCTGCTGAAGTTGAGGTGTCCTTTTTGTTTGACAAAAGCGGCCGGGAATCTTTTGGAACAGGAAGATTTTCTCCGAGCAATGATTTACTCTTTCCGTCACTTTGTCCTCCGAGAAAATCGAAAATTGGTTTTAGCTGATCAGAATGATTGTACTGAGGAACTGGAAGCAACATGCTTAAGTTTAGTTCACCAACTCTCTGAGCGGGGAATGGAGTCTTCGCATTTGGTGTCAGATGAAGCAAGGAGTGTAGTGGTCTGACTGTGTCCTGTTGTGATGCTTCAAGCAGCTGCTTTTCGCCATCTGAGTTGGGCAGATCTGCTAAGATAACAAAATGTACAGAAAGATGTCTTAATCAATTGTCATAAAACGAGCTTAAGACCTCTGGTCCAACCACTAGGTTCATATGTTACAAGCGTCCTGCCCACAGTTCGGATCAGCAAAGTTGAAAGCCTGATTAGTTGAAGAGCGATGGTGTAATAGTATCTCCGTCTTCGAATTAGGAAAGATAAGCTGTTTTTACTAATCACTGGCGTGGGTCAATAAAAAGCATTCTCTTGATGAAAAGATAAGAGACTTCACGAGGATTCACACCTCAGTCCTCGAGGGAGGAAAAACGCCAGATGAAAAAAATTTTTATTGCTTAATATCAACTTTGGCTCAGCTCACTTACCCACGACATCACTAGGTGGCTGGCATCTGTAGCTGATCAGAGCATACTTGTCAATCCCTGGACAGTGGTTTCCATCTTTAGTGAGATGTTTATCATCTGCCGTTACAATGCAACTCTCCCTTCCAGAACATCTCTCCTTCAAAGCTAAAATGCTGCTTGCTGAGTTTGCGCAGGTGAAGAACTTCCCCAGGGGAGTAGGGCAAGTAGAAGGCGAATCTCTACCCCAGTAGGCTGACATGATATGTATCTTCCATCCCTGACCGCACTGAAGCTCAGTTGTCTCACCGTTGCACAGCACAAATTTTCGTTTTTCAGGCATACATGTATACTTAACAGCCAAATATTTATTTACACCGGGGCAGTGTTTAACCCCTGGGGGCTGTAGAATGTTGTGCCGGGCGGGTATCTCGCAGTATTCCTTATCATCGCACAGATTCCGTACGATAGGTGTGGTGGTGGGATCACTGAGGCAGTTCGTGACAGGGTCTCCGTCCTCCGAAGGGCATATTTCGGCTGACAAGCGTCCCCAGAAAGCTTCCTCTATAGCGATGGTTGATCCAGGAGAGAAACATTCCAATGACTTGTTCTGACCAGCACAAATAATGACAGACTTATCTAAGACAGAAAAAAATTAAACTGGACAGTTAATGTTTTATGCAGAAAATCTTTCTGCTCGCAAATGTTCTGGTTCAGACATGCTCCAAATTTACCCATGGATTGGTTCGTTAAACTTATTCAGTGATGGCAACGCATGTTCCACTCCCCCACCCCTTCTGTCCTTCTGTCTTCCTGCAGGTTTTAACTTAAGTCAGACGCAAACATTTATGTGGTTCCATCGATAATTTTCTGATACTCATTGATTTTCTGGATCCGATTTTTACGCTGAGGGAGGCAGCGCAAGAGTATGGTGTTTTTCTCAATGGCCAGGCCAGCTTGAGTAATTCTTGAACTACAACTATGATATAACATACTGCACTTGCCAGATGAAAATTTTACTCGTATTCGCATGCACTTTATCGATATGTTGTGATCTATTCAACCAGCATCTCACCTGTTTCCAAATCAATTTCGCTTCTTGGGCTCCCTGATGAACCTGGGGTTGCTGTTCGAACTGCAGATTGATACAGTAAGGAATAATTAACAAAAAGAAACTTACTGAATAATTCCCATAAAAAATCTTCCCAATACTTCTGTTTTTTCTTAAACTTGTATTTTCTGTCAACTTCATTTCAAACTAAAAAAAACCAAAGAGGGTACTTTTCTTTGCAGGTTAATACTTGTGAGATCTCAAAGAAAATTGACATACTGTAATGGAAAGGCATATTTCCTGTACGAAAATAATAAATTTCGAAATTTGACCATTTCTATCGCTTACATATATTTACAAACAGTTGCATTCATTGTCTCGTAACACCTTTAAGTACCTCTATCATGTAAGCTCTCAAACCAAGATCCGAAAACGAAGACTTGAAAACGAAGACCTAAAAACTAAGACCCGAAAGGTCTGTGACATGGTTACGTCTGGCCCGTTAGCCCGGTTTGGTCCGACCGAACGGTAACATGACCGCTTAAAAATCGTATATCAGGGAATATAAGCCTTTGATGGAACGCTTGAACAGACTAACCATCCAACGCTATTAAAAAAAACACGATTCGCAATGTTTTCGGTCCATTTAACGCTTTCTCGTTTCACGATAGCATTTCTACAAGAAGCGTTTATATGAAAGTAATTAAAGATTTTTAATATTTGCACAAACATTGGTATTGTTATTTTGGTAGCCTAAACTATACCATGACAGAATTAGGTCTTTATCCTACCTGATAATTGGTCCAAAGTACCAGTCGATTCCACCCTATCGATAAACAAAGAAGACAAAAGCCACACGAAAGTTACCAAGTATTTCTTCATTCTTAGACAACATTCTATCACATCTTCCGTTGGATTTTTCTCCGCAAAATATGGTTTGTTTTCCACACCGATTTTATCATATCCTCAGTCGATTTTAAGGCCATTAAGTGAACCGTAGACTATGCATTTTGCTGACCCAGGCACCAGTTGGAGGTCACCTTGCTCACAAACTGAAAAAGTCAGAATGTCGCAGTTTGCTTTTAAATATTTATGAACATTTTGTATTCCGTTTTAAATGTTTTCAACGGAACAGAAATTTGTTTCTATTTCACTTGCCAAACTGTTGGTTAGCACTGTGTTTATTTGTCTAGAAAAGGAATTTGTTTGATTTCATGCATGTTGGTTGTATCTGTAAGTCTTACGTCAGGCTCACTAAGACCTCTAAGAGATATCTCTCTTAGATCTACGAGAACCGTTTCAATACTTTGGGAAACACAAAGGCCTGGTGCCTAGTGTGTTAGGCTCTAGATTTAGAAGTGTCTTGGCTCAGTTTACCCCCAGGGGGGTGGAGCGGGAAGGTTAATTCTGAAATGTTTGAGAATCGAGGGAAGCGGGTTGATAATCATCGTGCTTGTGGTTTTGAAGTGTCACGGTGGATGCGTATGGGTGTGTGTCATAATACCAAAGAACCTTCAGAGACCTCAAAATACACCATTACTGCTTAGACTGGAGTTAACTCAGACAGTTGTGGAACAATAACCTGGTAAACTATCTGAAGCTGGAGTTTTACCGGAAAAAAAAACTTAATTCAGTTCATAATTCCAGGGCATATAAATATGTTGAACCGGTTTGTCGCATTTTTAAACTGGCCTTTTTGTTCGTGAAAAAACTAATCAGTTGTTTAAAAAATTGCATTTGAATTCTTGGTAGAATGATCGACATCTTACTGCCATACCACTTTGGAACTGGGCCATGATCACTGTTTCGCTAACGCTTTTCTCCTATTAGAAAGGGCACTAAAAGTCGAACGGCAAAACTTTGCAGGTGCGCGAGTTAATTTTCCATAGAGCGCGCACTGTTGAGAAAGACAATAGAGCGCTGAAGACGTAGGCCGCGAACTCGGAAGCGTCGAGTACTTATTGTTTTTTATACGCATGTCCACGTTTGAGTCGATTTATGATAGAATTAACGTAAAAGACTTGTTTACATTGAGTTCATAAGTGTGCCTCCCATTAAGTCAGGAAAATCACACGTAAACCCTTTCTACCCCAACGCAACCCTGTGTTGCGCGCACTATGAGGACGATTGAGAAAAGTATGGAAAACAATTCTGTAGATACACGCGCTTACTACGTTTCAGTTTTTGCCGGAGATAACAATTTCTCTTCACTCACTGCATAATTAGTAGAGGAGACTACTAACTATGCTCACTGTGTTGCGAAGAGGAGCTTTTCAACCCCTTTGGGCTGCATTAACCTCGTCTAGTTGTGCTGACTGACCCTGAATACGTTTTTTTTATATTTTACTCCGTGCTACATTTTGTTAGGAAAGCAAATCAGCATTTCTGCAGCTTCAGCTAGATTTTGCACCACGTTAATTCTTCATGTTGCGTTAACCAAAAAGACAAAAAAACAGAGATGCGAAAAAACCTGTGAAAGGAGACATAAGATTCTAGGAAATGGTCTGATACAAGAGGAAGGAACAAAGGAATTAGAATGACCGTTGAAAGTTTTCCTTAGGAGGAAAAACCAAATCTGATGGTTTCACTGTGTTCTTTATTGAAAACATTTGAGCATCATTAAGTTAGGTAATAGAGTTCACTCGGAAAGCGTAAAAGCTGTATTCAGTTCGTTTGGGTATGTTTGCAGTTATTGAGTCGTTCATGTGAAAGTTTACCTAAGCTTTTTCATGCTCCCTGCGTATAACCATGATCTATTAACCTAGTATCATACACCCTACCCTTGACCCCAGGGTGCATAATTTTTTTTGTCGGTGAAAAAATAGTGTTACTTACTTTTACTCGGCTTATTTTACTAGAGTCTCGTATTCGGTTACAATATCAGCTAAAATCTCTTAGCCAATTATCCTAGCGCTAAGCATCTATCAAAAAGGTGGATCGGTTTCCTATATAAAAAACAAACAAACGAACAAACAAACAATTTAAGGCAACCGTTGCAATATCAACTCGGATGGATTTCCGCCATGCCTTTTGATTCGATGCCGCTGACTTTATTTTTCATACATTAAGGTGAATTTCCAGCTCCTGCATTTCCAAGTCCTAAGCCACGAAGCTTCTGAGGCTGCGAGTTTTTTCTTTGTTCCGCGAACTGGTTTTTAAGAACAGGAACAGGTCTCTTTTTGGTTGGAACTTGGACTATTTCGTTGAGCGAGGTCCTTTTAGTCCCAGGTACTGTTTTTTTCATCTGATCCTGATTACCTGGCGGTGTTCCCTTGCCGTTAGACCCTTCTTTCTGTAGCCTGGGTACCCCCACCTGTACTGCAGTGGGTAGAGCTCTGGTTGCTTTCTTTTGAGATACAAGCTTTGTCGGAAGTGGTACAGGGTCGCCTTTCCTTCTCGCCGCCTGCGGTAGCTTGGGAATTGATTTCTGCATGTTCTTCTGACGAGGAATAGAGGCTCTCTCTGTACCAGAAGGCAATGGCAATGACGGCTTTTTCTTTATATGATGGATTCCTTCAATTATCATACGTTCAATAGCCTGCGCTTGTTCATCTGTCAAACCATTGTCCGACCCAGGATCGTCGCCATCTTGCGTTTCAGCAGACGCTTTGATAAGATTGTTGATCTTCTCCAGAGCCTTGAGGCCTCCCATGCCCAGTCGTCCAATATTCAAGTTCTCTCCAACAACACTATTCCCCTCTTCAGCTGGTATTTTCACAATCTGTTGGCCCCCGCCGTCCAGCTGTTTAAGATCGTTCACAACGTTTGGTGCCAGTCCTGATTTGGGTTTGGCAGGAGGGACCTTCATGGGAACTGCTTCTTGGTCATTCTGAATGGCATCCTCTTCCGTACCTACGATGTGGATTAAAATAAAAAAAAAGATGTTAAGTCTGTACTCAAGCCAAGTGGCCCAGCCAGCCGGGACTTATCCCGGTTTTCTAAGCATTAAGCGACAAGGAGCATCACTACTCCCCTTTTTGCGTTCCCTTAGCATTTCGTACATATTTAACAGACTAGGCAAGAGAAACCATCCAAAATCAACAGTTACTGAGACAGGGTACAACGTGCACCAGGGTTGGGTTGTTCAAAATCCGATTACAACCGCTCCTCGTAAACTGTGCATGTAGTAACCTCGAGGTACCGCACAGCTTTAATCCGAATAAGTGCTTTGAACCACACGATCCAACATGTTGGAAAAGTCACAGATTGTTTATGATTAATAAACGGTTTCCTGAGATGCATTACCAACTCTCACACACCCTACCTATGTTTGGATGCGGTTTACAGCTGTAGTTGATTATCAAGTATTTCTGAACTCCAGGGCAGTTTTCGGCGCCATTTTGTACTTGATCATAAGAAGAATGCACGTCACACCTGGTCAACCCATCACATGACTTCTTCACAATCCCAAGACTCTCAGGGGCCCCAGTGCACATGGTCTGTCCGTTCTCTGCTGGACAGACAGTGGTTGACTGGCGTCCCCAGAATACTGAATTGACGCCAATCTTCCATGAAGCCGGGCAGGTGAGGCTTGAGTTTTCAGAATCACAAATGACGACTTCTTTTGCATCAGGCACACACGTGTAATTGACAGTTAAATATTTATTTACGCCAGGGCAGTGTTGTGATCCTGTGTTCTGTAGCAAGGCATGTCTGGCTTCAAGTTCACATGATTCTTTTCCTTCGCATCTTCCCTTCACTATTCCCTCTGACTCCGGTGCAGTGAAGCAGTCAAGCATTGTATCTCCATCATCTGAAGGACATATCACAGCAGACTTGCGACCCCAGAATACACCTGTAACTGCGATGTTTGAGCCCGGGTATGAGCAGCTCAGCGGTTTCCTCTGTGTTGTACAAACGGTGATTTCCTTGGCTGGAAACAAAATAAATAATAGAACTGGGCAAGAATCATTTTATCACAGAGCTGCACTTTTTAAGATGGGCGAACAAACAGTCACAAGCATTAATCCTGGTGTGGAGTGTGTTCCATTCACCAAAATACATTCACCAAAATAGTTTATGAAAACGCGAACAGTTCACCTTATAAAAGAAAGTCAAACAATTAATCTTTATGTGCGCTCCATAAACTTTCCTGAGGGTCGCCAAAAGTGCCTGGCCAAAAGGAAGTTTACTCTTGACTCTTATTCTTTAATTTATGGTAAACATTAGTTACCATTAACGCGAGAGCATAGTTGAGTGCTAATACATTGAGGTGCCGTTTGCTTGAAAAGTAGTAAAAAGCGAACAAGTCCTCTTGCAAGCAAATGTTCACGTTGTTAATCTTTTTATGAGAGCCTTGATACTCACAAGCTTCGAGGTCAATCTGACTCAAACCAGCCCCTGCATCTTGATTGTGAACTCCACCTCAGAGGAAAAAACGCAGCGAAGTCAGTATCACCAATATATGAAAAAAAATTTTTTTTCCTTGGGCGACGTGGGAGCCTACTCCAATTCAAGGGATGACGCATTGGTTCCACAGGCATGTAGACGGCGAGGAAAAAAATTTCTTTTTAGAGGCTGAACTACTGGACGACTTTTCAAACATTTTTCAGATTTGTGCACTGCAAGTAAAAGCGTTTGTGTGTCTTATCCACTAACATTTAGCGTTTGCACACATCTAAGCATGTGGGTATACCAGACTTACCTTGTACATAAGCCAATGCTACGTTCAGAAAGGCGACGAGAGCAAATATTTGGTGAATGAAACGGCTTTTTGCCATCGCTGCCCTTGCAAAAGCAAAGCAAATAAAAATATGAGAACTAATATTTATGATTTTATCGAAGAATTGGTCAAATAGGCGCCAAAGTGTTTGTACCTGTGATTTGATGTTACCACAAGATCAAACCGGAGAATAACTTTCTTAACGGGTGGTAACAATTTGAGAACAGGTCAAAATTTGTTTTTTTCACCTGGATCAGTCAAGAGTGAAATTTAGTCCAGTTTGTTCAGATAAGGACGTTTTAACGTGTTTGTATCGAAAATCAGTATAATTGCGAAGTTCACTGAAATCCTATGACTTCTGCGTCAAATCAAAAATAAGATAACCTCAGGAGGACTCATTGTTAAAGATTACGTGCTTGAAATTTAACAACAAAGGCAAATCTCAGCTATATAACACCAACACTAGACTAAACAGTTTTGAATATTATTGTTCAACAAGTGTATCAAAAAAACATTATAGTAACAATATTTGATTAAAAGCATTCCTCCAGAAACCTTTCGCGAAAAAAAAAATAGGGTTCCGGCGATGTTTCATTAGTCACCATTCACGCCTTGTAAACGACAGGTTATCACGAAAAGATTCTTCTTTGCCTGGTTTACTTTGAGAAGATGACAACGAGTCTTGTTTCCAAAATGACAACCTCTTATTCAGGGGGAGGAATAGAAAATAGCAGTAAGTTCAAACTATCTAAGTTACCTTGTGTTGGGGCCTTTTCACGTTGCCTTTTTTGTTTCTTTTTAATCCTTGTGTGACCGCAGGCGGAAAACGTGAATTATGCAGGAATTGTATGACGTCACTCACGATGTATCCGGATCGTAGTTGGAAACAGGACCGCAGTGATCTAATAATTCTTTTTCATGAACAAAAGCCATGTCAAATTCTAAAAATTTTAGCGGAACCTCCTCGTATTTCAGTTTGATACACTTCATAATTTCTGCTTTTTGCGGGTGGGTTTCCGCTCGTGCATTATTTAAACTCGGTGTCATATTATTCGAACTGAAGATTCTTGAAAAGCAGGAGAATTATTTCCACTTAGCGACTTTTAGCGACTGTTTTCAACCCAAGTCGGAGGAGAGAAACCTCACGAGGATCTTTAAGAGATGTAGAGCAGATAACAGCAAAACGTTTCGCTAATTGTAGTTCTTTCTTGTTAAAATCTTATTATTCTGAACTTAGCACTCGCAAGAATACTAGGTTATGGGTTACCTTTGATCTCCTATCCTGGTGTTGCTGTGGTTTGGGACCTTTGACAAGTTATTCATAATGCCTTGCGCTTTACTAAGTCTCCGCTGGATAAGATGGCATGAAAATTTACTCCTCCTGTTAAGAATCGAAGAGAATAATGCCTCTGCGGCCCCATGTACAATATTTCTTCTCTCACCAGTCTTCGCCCTGTCTATTTTCATGTAGAGACCTTGATGGTAGGGAGGGTGGGGGTTACACATCGTTTAGTGCGTGCATAGATGTAAGGTGGTAACCTAAGATCTAAGAGAGGATGCACAAACTCCAGAATTTGTTTCGATTCAGATAAAAACCTTTAATATGCTGTTTATTAACTGATTTTATTTATTAATTAAACGAGTGCAATTTTCGAGTATCCAAAGTTGTGATCAACAACCAACTCTTCGGTAAGATTCGCTTTGCAAACAGTTTGTTATTTTGGCGCAATATCACGGAATTTAATCACAGTTTGGACTCCTGATAAGGTCAGTCGAAAGACCATCATTTATTTCTTTGGGTTGCCAAGGGGATATGACACATAATTTTGTGAAGGCATACAGCAAACTTCAAAAAAAAAAACAAACAAACAAACAAACCACCGATATAAATGGTGCACGGTGTTTACTATATACAAAACTATTTCTTATATTACAATGGGTAGTGTTAAGCAGTTGTACTCTGTTATAAGTGGTATAAAATTGACGGCATTGTTTATTTTTGCATTGACGTACATGTGTATTGTAAGGAGATGAGCCAGAAACTTATGCCGCAAAGAATACTCCGTATGCTCTGCTTGGACTATAAGTGGAAATACTATTGCTGGCATGACTTTTACTTGATCGTTTTGACATACGTTAGCACCCTACAAATGAAGTTTCTTTTTCCGGAAACTCTTCTTTCGAAATTTATTCCTCCTTATCATTGGGGATGGTTTCCAAATTAGCGATCGGCTTCGAAGTCCGCGGTAAACTGAAAGAGGAATAAGGCCGAGCTGACCGCGCCGTCCGATTTCAGGACTGGGTCGACAACTGTAGTTCACTACGAGGTACTTCTCGATACGAGGACAGTTTTCGCCGCCATTTTGCAGTTCCCTGTAAAACGCTTGTAAAGGGCAGAAAGGAATATTGTTACATCTACTCCTTAGTTTAGAGACAGTCTCTGATGCGCCGGGGCAGAGTTCCTGCCCTTTCGCAGATGGACAAACTTCAGTTCTGTCACGGCCCCAGAAAGCTGTATTTATTCTAAGAAGCCAGTCAGACGGGCAGGTAATCATTGATCGCTCCGAGTCGCACAAAATCGCTTCTTTATTCTGAGGTACACAAGTATAGTTCACCGAGAGATATTTCGAGACACCGAAACAATGCTTTGTTTTCTGCAGCTTGTCGGCTTTTCCTTCCAGTACACAACTTCCCATTCCTTCGCACATTTCCTTGACGATGTGTTCCGTCTCGGGGGCTGTGTGACAGTTTGTCACCGGATCGCCGTCATCCGAGGGGCAAATATTAGGGGATTCCCGACCCCAAAAGACCCCTGTTATAGCGATAGCTGATCCAGGTGACTCGCATGTGAGTGGGCTCTTTCGTTTGGAACAAACCGTTACTCGTTTCTCTGGAATATGAAGAAGGCGGATTATTATCAGTACTACTTGGCCTGGCTAATGTACGTATGTGCTTGACTCTCTCTAACATTTTATGACACCAGTCTCATACTGCATGATGCATGTTATTTGTGCGGCCAAAATACCACTATTTGACGATCAATCTCCGGGTAGTGATTGTCTTTACTATAAACGTTATTAGCTCAATTGCATTCACAAAGCCACCCATCGTGTTCCGCTTCATGAAACTGGCATAATCTTCTTCTTTTAGACTTTTTAGTGATGGACTCAAATAATCCCTACGTTTTCTTAAAATGAAAGGAGACTTCTCCTACTACTCATTCATAAAGTTACCCATTTCGGAATTTAGAACCTTCGTTCCTCAAGTTATGATAAGATTTTCTGCCAAATGCATCTTAACTCCATTGAGTAAAGATGAGAGCTATTAGCTTGAATCATCAACCTCTGGCACTCGTGCACTATGTATATTTCAACTACTTGTGGTTCCGTGTTCGAATGAAGTTGAGGGGCCACGCCTTTTTAAGTGTCCACTCCCTTATTAATCATAGTGTGGGGGCAGACTTACAACTCTGTGCGGTATATTTGATGTCAAATTGGATGACCAATTAAAAAAAGATCATTCAATTCATTCTCCATGTCTCACCTGCCGCCAAGGAAGTCAAAGTTCTCTTGTGACCTTGATGCGTGCTGCAGACATACCCTAACGACAGTAAATTAAAAAAAGGGCTAATTTAATTTGAATAGCCTTCAATTTGATACTGTTTGTCCATTAGGTTTAGCCGGCGTTCAGTCTTGATTTTAGTCCATTTCTCTTTCGACATGGAAGTCAGTTTGGTTGAGTGCAATGTAGTTCCCTGCGATACAACTGCGGCCTTATCGTTAAGAGATTTAGATACTTCGTCGCTATCATTTCAACTAAAAGATGTAAACGTTTTAGACTATCAATGATTTCCTATTTCCACGAACAGCTGTACCTGTGTAAGGATCTAACCCCCTTTGGAGTAGAAAGGCCTGTTTCGTAAAAATGAATACGTCACGTGTTCATTATAGTTGGTTCAGCGAGAACATTTTCTCCGTCAAGATGAAATTGAAGAAAAAAATTTTGTAGTCAAATAACTTGCTTTAGTTTGAAGTTTACAGAGCAAGAGAGTAGATACTGGAATTAACACAAAGCTGTTCACGACACAAACTACTTACCCGTCATAATCACGATGGCTATGAGGTGAAAAACAAGCTTTCCCTCCATTACTGCGGTCGCTTCCTCTTCCCTAGACTGGTCAAAATGTTAAGACAAGATGTTTTGGATCATTCGTACGTTTGAGGGATATATTGTCACAAAGTTTAAACAACCGGGTCAGTATACAAACATAATTCTCGCCTCTCGCTTTTGAAAGTGCAGTAACAAAAATATATTTTAGACAAACCTTTCCTTTGGAGAAGATCAAGTAAGATCGGCATAACTTTCAACGCCAACAATACAGTATTTCGATTAAACTATTATTCCATCCACAAACAGCGGCGGCTTGATTAGAAAACAATATTTTGTGGATAAAATTTGGAGGAAATTACGTTCGTTCGGAGGTATGAGCAGGCACCAGTAATAATTTATGACTGGAGATAAAAGCTGTCGGCCATTTATTGTATTTTCAGTGTTCTCGTTAGCAGGTACATGCTAAGCGCAGAGGCTGAAAGATAGTGGGGGTGCTGTAGAAAACCCGTTTTCTACTAGACACCACTGACTCAGTTCAAGTTGAAATGCGTGTGCAGTTCAAAGTGCGGTTTAATATAATGGTTTTTAAACATGAACGTGTGACGGGCAATTAAACGCACGCTAAGGACACTCTCTGCTATCTAAAGGACAACTCAAAAAGTAACGAAAACAACGCATGGCAGAAAGTGTAAAGTCGCCAATGGTAACCAGTGCTAAGCAACCAACAGAATGCATACACATGGGACAAAGTATGAGGGAGAGAGAGAGAAGAGGAGCAGAAGATCTCTCTTTCCATCAAACTTTCCACCAGCTTTCCCTTACGGCCAATATTGATAATATAAGAGACCAACGCTCTCTGAGAGGTAAGGGAGAGGATGAGGATGTCTATTCGTTATTACCAGATTTAGACCATGTTCGTTTTAAGACCTTACACTCATCTAAACTGCAAGGCTCTTTTCTTTTGCGCATCAGTCAAGGAGAATGAAATATGTCTAGGCTGCCAAGCTACGTTTCTGGGTCGACAATTTGTCCCTAGATCAGATTTGTTTCCTGTTAATACGATCAAGTTCATAAAAAGAATTTCGTGTGGATGGTTATGTTTTGTTTATTGAGTTTAAATTACCTCTCTACAAGTAATACTGAACTAAACTAGATAATTCAACAATCTCTGTCCTACTCATCCGAGGCCTAAAAACAAACTCTAACCCAACTACGGCTATAATCTTGGTCATATAACTCCAAAAAATCACAGATTCAAAATACCATCCACTGGATTTTTTCGCGACCAGAAGAAAACTAATGCTTTCGTCCGTCAAATATCAGTCTAAATCTTACACCCAATAACTGACCGCACAAAATTATTAAAAAATTACACAGTGTTACGTAAAACCGCCCCTAAAATCTGAGCTCAAATATAGTTCCAAATTTCCGGCGAACAATCGCCTATCATTTTTCTCAAATAATTAAGGCCATAAAAGTCTTATCAAATGCAAAAAAATTGCGATAGAATTTAGGCAGAGAGTTAGAATAGCAAAACTGTGGTGCTAGACTACAATATAAAACTTTTGTCACAAGATTACAAAGCGTCATACAATAAAGTTTAGAATCCGATGAAAAACTGTTGTAGCCAGGTTACAAAGTCTCATATAATAACGTTACTGCTAGAATCAGATTTATAGCAAACTAATCGCTATACACTATAGCGATTACTTTGATTCAAGGATGATTTCAATTTTTCATAGCACTTCATTTGTTATTATAGTTCCCTGATTCAAGGTGATTTGTCCGCAAATAGAACGGTACTGGAGCAACAAACTCGTCATCATCTGGCTAACAGCCTCCCACTGAATCATCGCGACGATGAGCAAGTAAATAAAAATATTATCAAACGTACTGAGAAGTATTGGAAATAAAACGTCTTTTCACTGCTCTTGGTGACGGTGAATCTGAAATGTAAGCATGATTTGAAATGAGATTGGCTGTATAGAGAACATTGTCGTACATAGACTCTACTCTGCGCATACTCTGCTGTCTTGGTTGAATTATACGTCCTTGGTAGTCCAGTTCTTTAATGCTTCATTCTGCATTGTGCACAGCGGTTGAACCCGAGAGGGTGAAGAGAGAGAGAGAGAGAGATTTCAAACTCAGCGAGAGGGAGGGTTTAGAAACTGGACTAGTTATGCGACTTTTAAAAAGAACATGGCACTAAAGAAGCAGTATTTTGTAAAGTTTCTAAAGATAATCATGTGCATTCTACATTACTGGTTCATTCTGGAGCAATCCTCTGCCCCAGTTATCAATTCGTTATTTGTGAGTCATGATTATCTTACCTTACTTCAACATTGTTTGATCTGTATTTCAATCTTTCTTTTCCTTTGTTTTGGAGGTTGTCTTCAAATCTAATCGAAAGGAAATAAAGTGGGCTTGATTATTGATTAATTATGGCGATAACTCGTACAGAGGATAAGAATTAAATAAATTAGCGACTTGCATATGGAAAAGTTCTGCGAAAAATGTACGTGTTGTAATGCACAAAATTTATTGCAGTAACGATAATAAAAAAAAAAGATAAAGATAATTTAAAAGATAATTTTGGCACGATTTTGCACGTTTGACGCCCGATTCTTACCCTTATCAGCCAAGGCGCCTATCTCCTTGCTTGTGAGAGCTCTCTCCCAGAGAGCAATATTATCCATTTCCAGCGGTACTCTAAACTTTGGAGAGTGAGAATTGTTTGGTCGTCCAACTTGCAACGTGGAGAAAGAATCCTTCGGTCTTGAAACACTCATAGCTTCTCCCTTAGACACTTCCTTTCCGTTTACATACAGCTTAAGTAAACCCTTCTTCTCCCAGGAAAAGGCAATGTTGAACCATCCATCTGGAAGGTCACGTGTTTCCAACTTCCACTGGCTATTTTTTGTGCTGAGTATGAGGATGTAGCGGTTTAGAATATGAAGGAGAGCGAAGCCTCGGGCCTGGGTGGTCTGACCTCCGCTGGACAAGAAATACGAGCTGGATTTCTTGTGGAAGTATTTCTTGTCAAGTTTAAGCGAAGTCATCATTGTCATTCCGTGATCTCTACATTGGTCTGGATCGCTGAAGCATTTTCCTGGCGAGATAGAGTGATAACATTTAACGAGAAAAACAATCTAAATGTCAATTTTCTGTACTATCTGTCATATTTTTCTTAAAGTTTAGCTATAAAAATTTTGCGTTTAATCCAAAATTTTCCTTTGGTTGATATATTATTTCTCTCTCCTTATCACCTGCAAAGTCTCCGAGAGAGATCCATCCTCTTGCTTTACCAGTGCTGGCCACCAGACCCCGTCCGGTCTCTGGGACAACTCGTGATCCTCCCATGAGCCGCGCTGGACGCTTTTGAACAGTATCATGGGATATGTACGCGCCCGATGCATCTTCAAACGACCAGAAAAAATCAGCTGACCGAAACTCTTTGGGAACTGCTGAGGGGAGAAAGAATAAACGAATTCTAAATACCTGTGGCTTAGCTACTTCCCCTTGGTCTGGTGAATCATTGGTATAGTAGTTAGGGAATTATCTGATTAGGGCCCTCGTTGATACCAGCCTATTGCTGAAATGGTCACCCTGCCTAAATAAATATGACTTAACTTGACTCTATTTTCTCATTTACTGCTGTCTCTCTAAATTCCGGTCCGTTATCGCGTCCCAACAACTTTCAGTTTGATCTCATCTCGGATAAGTTCGCTACAACTTACAGAGAGGCCATAATGTATGATGTGGATTATGGGCTATCATGCGTACGGTTTAATTTACTGGCAAATGTTCTGGATACGAGGGACCGAGATTTCGTTTCGAAATGAAGCCATTCTGTGATTTTTAAATTTGTGATAATATTATTGTCTTTGATCGCGTGGTCTGTTCATCCAGGTGAGGGTAGTCTTGAGTAGGACTGTTGTCGATTGTGTTGACTAACCCTAACCCTAACCCTGCGTTATGACAACCTGAGCGGAACTCATCATTGGAGTCGCTTTACATTATCTTACCAGTATTGGCTTCTTTATCTTTCTTGCTATTCAAACTTGTCATCGAGGGCTTTTTCTTGAGAATGTCTCCTCTCTTCTTCCCAACTGCAATGTGTACATAACAAAGTGAAGCTCAGTCGTGCACTATGATAGGTAATATTAGTATGTTATAAGCAGTGGCACCTCGCTAAAGAGAGGCACCTCAGAAAAACCTCTATTTCTCTTTTACGCAAGATTTTTTTTTCAGTCGGTGACGCAGGAATACCAGGAAAAAGCTGACCAAATAAATAAACAATCCATTAAAAAATAAGATACGCACCTCGTACTCGACGCGTACTCTTCATCCGTTGTATGAGCTTTCTCAGTTTCTGCTGTTGTTGCGCAAACAACAATCTCTTTTTCCTTTGGAACTGCCTGAAGCTCTTGTTCGCTCGCTGTTGCCTGAGCACGAGCATGCGCTGTCTGCGTCTGTTCTCCTGTAGCTGTTTCTGATATCGGAACCAACGGACTCGAGCATTACTCGCTCGTTTCATCAGCTGTCGCCTCTGGGCTCGCATCATCATCAAATATCTGTATTGCCGATATCTCTTGTAGTACACCATCCTCTTCGCCACATTGACCAACTGTTTCCTTAGAACTGAAAGCTGCTGTCTTGCTCTTCGTTGACGAGCTTTGACCCTAAACGCCTGGATACGTAGTCTCGACGCTCTTTGTCGTCTCCTCAGGTATCTTGATCTGAGTATTCTTTGTCTCAGAGCTAGTTTCCGCTTGATTTGAAGCATCCTTTGCCTTATCAACAGTCTCATGCGCGCTGCTTGCGCTCTTTGACGTGCGCGCAGCATGGCTAACTGACGATATCGCCTCAGACGTTTCAGCCTGGCTATTCGAAGGGCACGAACCCTCCTCTGCTGAGCAAGTAACTTCAATCTCCGCATGCGCTGCTTCATTCTGAATCGCAACAACCTCATGGCCCGTCGTCTAGCTCGCTGGATTCTAGCTCGGTGTTTTGCTGCCTTCAATCGCGCTAATCGTAGTTTAAGTCTTAACTTGCGTCTCTGTATTTTCCTCTTCATTTTTCGCACTCTTTTAACCAAGACAATTTTTGCTTTTCTTGCCAACCTGAGACGTTTTATGTTCCCCAGTCGTTTCAAACGACGGACCCGTACAACAACTCGGATCACCTTCCTCTTCAAAACCTTTAGCAGTCTGATTCGTTTTATTATTCTCAATTTCAGTTTTCTAGTTTTTGCCACTCGCCGCTGCTTTCTCTTAGTTCGTCTCACTCTTCTCCTTACAGCTCTTATTTGCTTCATTCGCTTTCGTTGTCTTGCTTTCCGAGAGCGACCCTTAACTCCTGCAAAAAAAAAACATGGGCAAGCTTATTTATGGCATTTGATCAAAGATTAATGTACTAGTGACTAGTGATCAGTCACTTACATTATCAAAGGATCATGTGGCTTATGTTTGGCCGCGCGTAAAACAAGGTCGAGCACATGAGATCGAGGCATGTTGGTAAGTTTCTGGGTGAGACGAAATTAAAAGAGTAAACATTTTTTCTTGTCGTTTTTTTTTCCTGTTTTCGTTTCCTTTATCCTGATAAGTTTCTACGTGAGGAGTTTTAAGTTGTCGCCTGACGATTAATCTGTGAGCTCTCGACCTTAAGCGCTGAACCAGGTTTCCTCACCCGAAACGAAAGCCACTGAAGAGAGCTGAAGTGTGCAAGATTTGAAACATATCAATGGCTGTAGTTTTGCCAAAGCCTGTCGGGCCTAACAGGTGTGTTGGTTAAAAATTATCAACAAACCGTTATTTAATTCAAAGAGAACCATAGCAAATGTACAACTTGCCTTTTCTCAATGGCCGTCTGTAATGACCTACAAAAGAATAATTATCATGATGAAGTTACAGAACAGGTAACAAAACCATTGCAGTCAAACCTCTATCAAGCGGTCAACCTTGAGGAATGGCGACTGTTTGGTACAGACTGACCACTTAATACAGTTTGACCGTGATGTTAATGCGTAGTATATGTCCAAAGAAGAAAGGCAATCTGCAATGCGTGGGGACATTTGAACTTAAAGTACTGACACTGATTCCGGAAGATAAACATGGTTTAAATTCTACTTGAGAGATTATCCTTAGTTTATTTAAGTAGTTCGGCGTTGAGCTATCGTTCCCAATATGCGTTAGACAATACAAACTGGCCGTTGGGAGTCAGTGAAGGATGACCACGACCGCTCAATATGGGTGAAAATTACAATACTTACAGTACTTGGGGGTTAATGCAAGGGTGAAGTTTTTATTTTTCAGAAGAAACTTGACGAAAGTATTTCACTACGATCAAGGGTCGCGGCTGTATCACATACCTTTCCCTATCATGTAAGCATCAATGAAACGTGATCCTCCTGCGCCAGCTCTGAAGCGACCCTTGATTATGGGTTTGGTTGCATACGTTCTAGATGATCGAGTTCCGTAGCAGATTCCATTCCGACGTAAAGCGAATGCTTTGAAACCTCGGCGTTTTGCTAAGAGAGCGCAGCTGAACACCTTCTTTCTCCCTGTCACTCTACCTATTTTCGTGCCCAAACCTCTTCCTTTTAGCGATCTGAATCGTCCCAACCAACGGTAATGCCAGGCAAAGCCTCCTTTACGAGGCCTGGGGCGAGGCTTGAAACGACCTTAATAAAGCAAACGAAAATTGAGTGAGACCAATCACAAGGTAGAGTCTCGTAAATAGGGCTTACTGACATGTTTGATTTGATGCTCATCGATGAATGGGGTTAAAAGGCAGTTTATTACGGCTAATTCGACGTTATGCTGAATAAATCAATAAGATCTCTTTACATATCTGTCCGGTATTTCTGTCAATAAAAGTAGCTTAAGGTCCTATCCGATGTCTGTGTAATTACTGAGCAGGCACCGACGATAAAGACGTCACAACTTTTTTGCGGTGCCATCAATTTTTGAATGGCTCACCATCAAAGGATTATCTAGGAGCTTCAACCGCACTGTATCCACCCTAATCAGCATTCAATTCTCAAAAGCTAAGCTTTTTTACGCTGTATCTTACCTTTTCTGATCACATAAGCATCTATAGCACGCGGTCCACCAGTGCTCGCCATGAAGCGCCCAAACGCCCTAGGTTTAGTGGAGTAAGTTGACGAGTATCTTGACACGTAACAATCTCCTCGGTTGCGCAAAGCAAATGCACGGTATCCCATCCTTTTGGCACGCCGTGCACATTCAAACACTTTCGTTTTCCCTCTCATCCTTCCAATAAATCGACCCAAACGCGTTGAAGTGGGTGATTTGTAGCGGCCGACGTATCGATAATGCCACACTGTTGTCTTTGGCCTAGGTCTCAGACGCCCTGCAGGTCACATAAACATAATTTATTCTTCAGTGAGTTCTATCATAAAGCTTACACTTACAGTTTCACGTCGGAAAATGTTTACGACTCAAACAGCAAGTCGATAGAATGTTTGCGCGGGTCACGAGCTTTTGCGAGGCTATGCAGAAAGAACAGCAACACTTCACTGAGTTAGTGGAGATGTTGGGCTCAATTCTTTCGTTGTAAATCTTCCTTTGACTTTCTATTGAAAATCACATTTTTATCCTGAAACAATTGCCTAAATTTAGGTAAAAACTGTTGTCTTTCGAGCGAAAAATTACATTTTGTGATAGCTGAGCAGCAAATTCGTCGACATTTGGCTTAAGCAGTCCCAGGGATATTAGTTTGTTTAAGTTTCCACAACAACACTTGTTGTGAATAGAGGGTATCAACGCTTTTCACTTTTTTAAAAATGTCGCCATGTTAATCAAGGTATGCTATTGCTTTGGAAGTTCGTGACATGCGCAAACGTTTTTCAGTTCTGCCGTTGAAACCGGAGATCCAGAGTTTTCATAGCTCACCTCTTCCAATCTTGTAAACAACCATTCCTCCAACACCAAACGTTTTTCCAAATCTTGTCAGTGGTGAACGTAAGCTTGCTCCATAGCAGTAGCGTCTGCTTCGTACTCCGAAATAGCGATATCTTGCCTTTCGCGCCATGATAGCGCACTGCTTGGCGGGGTTTAATCTGGGTCTGACCGTGCCTAAGTATCTGCGGCCTGGAGATGAACGGCCCCGTGGTACTTTGTATGTACCGAGGCGACGATAGTTCCATAAGCGTCGCGACGGCCTGGGTCGAGGCCGGGGCCTAGATGTACCTGAAGTTGTAAATGATGGCATTTATTTCTTTGTGCATTTATACATAACACGTAGACAGGCACGGCTTCAAGCCTTAACAACACAGATTGCCATTTATGTAAGGTAGAAATCATCAGAACCATCTCCAGGTTTTTGCTAAACCACGTTGTCTCACAATAGAAATCTTTGGCCACTTCACTTAGCGCAGCAATTACTGGAATAAAAATATCTACAATATGTTGTCACGATCATGACAGACAATAAAGAAATCCATTTTTTATCATAGAACCCGGGGAATAGTTTGCGTTGTACTACTTGGAGACAGCTGAGTTACACGACAACTGGAACGTTAGGCCAATAATTTTTTTGTTCTGGAGGAATGCGCGATGATTCGTGTTGTTTGCAACAATAAAGGCTAGTCGGTCATCTGTTTAACCTGACAAACTATTGATCTTAAGAAGTAGCACCCACCTCTCTTTATCACGTAAACTTTGAGGCCCCCTACTCGAGTCTTTCCGAGCCTTGTAAACTTGACCGACGTCATTTTAGATAAGTAGCAGCTTACTCCGGCACGGACAGCAAATGCTCTCGCCCTTCGTGCTCGAGCCAAGCGGTAGCAGTTCCGTAGAGCGGACGAACGTCGTCTGAAAGTGCGGACAGCTCTTCCCAATCTACGAGGAGTGCGGTACCTTCCGATGTATTTAGGCACAAATCTTCTTCCTAGAATCAATGACATTCAACCTCTGCTGTTCAGATTCAAGATGATGCAGAACAACGCAAGCAGTTCAGAGGTGTCAGTATTTGTTGGCAAAAGAGAAAATTATTTGTCCCTCGCTTTTAACAATGCTGACTTCTGTATTTATTCAACGATAGTCCTAATGACGTACTATCTGGTGTAGACACACGAGGTTTTCCTCACGGCTGATCCCAGCAGTAAGTAAGGCGCGTGTTTCATTTGAACTTACTGAGTGGGTTAGCTCACCAGTGGGTTTTATGCAACACAGTCATAGAGTATTCGTGCATGAACTAAAAAATTCTGGGTTCTAATTCTCGCGGGGACCCAGACTTTAATTGTATCTCTCTTGATATGATATCTCTCCTTAATCAACGATGGAACTCAAAATTTATCATCATTCTTAATTTTTTACTCAAAGAAATAGCAATAATATAGTGACCTGATCCATAAAATGGATGGGAAATGGAATATTATCCTTGTATCCGAGAGTGAGAGCTGTCTACGCATAACAATCATTGAACTCTCATGGAGACGAATAAATCTCAATCATGTACCATACCTGGTAACTTCGGCCTCGGGCGTGGCCTGGGGCGAGGGCGTATAGGTTTACCTGCTGAGATGATCAAAATATAAACAAAAACTTGGAAATCAGGAAACGCGAAAGGAGCAAAGGCATAATTAATAATTGAAAGTTCGTCTGCTACTCACCAGTCGTGCTTACATAGACCTTGAGTGCACCAGGTCTTATCAATCGCCAGCGCCCATACCTTGTAAACTTCGTACTTTTCAGGCGAGCTACGTAACATTGTCGACCGTACCGTAGGGCAAATGCTCGGTAATTTCCGGTTCTTGCTATCTTTTCACATCTCCTTCGTATGTTAACTTTGCTTCTAAATGTTATGATTGGTCGTCCGAGTATACGACTGGGCGGTGGACGGTAACTTCCGACGTACATATATCTTTTACGCCCTGACGAAAAAAGGGAGCAAGTTGCTAACGACTCTGTGGTGCTGCGTCAGTGGGGGGAGGGGGGGGGGTTATTACAAGACAACATAGTTCTATCAACTGGGTTGATAATAATGTAAATTGGCCACCGTAAAGAGATTCTAAAGCTGACGTTCGGAGCGTTAGCCCTTTGTTAGGAGCGTTTTTTTTGTTGCATTTTGTTTTTTGCTTTCTGTTTCTTATCTAATTTGCAAAAAAAAATTCTCAAAATTTCCTTAAAATCAAAATTTTATTGTGCGGGATTTTCTCAGCACCAAATTTAATACACAAAACTTACTTGGACGAGGCCTAATTTGAGGTCTCGGACGAGGCCTGGGACGAGGTCTGATTCGAGGTCGTCCTCCTGTAAGAAACACAATATCAAATGACTACAATGATACTTTGAAACAGTCTCATTTCAGTTAAAAGGACACATAATACATCCAAACTTCTTTATGGTCTCACTCTCCATCAGTTCCCCATTCAGCTGCTTAGATTCTCCGTCCATCCGATGCTTGCTTGCTTCTTCTTAAACAATTAACCCTTTACACCCTAACATCAGTATGCATATTCTCCATACTGCTCTCTATACATAACCTAGGTTCTAACAAGGAGAATTTGTAAAACCAATAAGAGCTTCGTTAGTAGATGATCATTTCCTTTATTCTCATGAACTAAAACATTTGATTCACTGGTGATATTGTGAGGAGAAATTAGAACCTTGTCACTCTTAGGGATTTAAAAGTTAATGAAGGAAAAATAAATCTTATTATGTATTTGGAATTAACATAGACCTACTTGCTTACCTGGTCTCGGTCGTGGCCTGGGAGGAGGTAAAGGTCTCGGTCTCGGCCTGGGTCTAATTTTTAGTATGCTGGTAGCTCCTAAAAAAAAACGAAGACGTCAATTTTAATTTTTTGATTGACAGCATAACTGACATCATTTAAGACTGGAAGAAGGATGAAATTAGGGGTAAAAGTTACATCCGCGGTTTGAAATTAAGACAACATTCTTTCTTGATGGACAACAACGTGTAGCGGGGCATAATTTATTACAAGTGAATTCACCATGATGAAAAATGGCAACCTTTTTTACGATACTTTTGAAATTTACTTTACTTTTTTACTTTCTCAAGCACAACATTCTTTACTGCTACAACTTTCCACATAACTCTCCAAATCATCCAATCTTGTATTTACCTCTGGCTATGTAAACCTTCAGGGCACCAGGCATTTTCGTTCGAGGAAGACCAAACCTCAGAAATTTGCGAGGATGGTTTTTTGCGATAAAGCACTGACGACCAAACCGCAAAGCAAATGCCCACGCGCGGCGCATGCGCGCTAGACGTTGACAATTCCTTCTCGCATTCTTCAAGCTTTTTAGAATTACTGTGGGTTTACCAAGTTTTCTGCCGGGTGGAGCACGATATATTCCATAGTATCTATATTTTCCTCCTTAAAAGAAGGAAAAATAGACATTGTTAAGACTTCCTTTCTTAGCGCATTCAGGTATTAACAAAGGACAAGAGAATAATTATAAACTGTTTTTATAATCTCTTGCAAAGGAAATGGTTTGTTCAAGACAAAGTAACCTTTTTCCCCATAAAAAAAAATGCCATACCTGGGGTCGGCCTTAGTTTTTTCCTCGGTCTTATTCGTCCAGCTAGAAGGAGGAATAGGATACTGTCAGTTAAAACTAAACATATTTAAAATCTGGGAACTCTAGGTAGGGTAGATATCTTGCAATTATTAACCAAAGGGGAAGATAATTTTGTTGAAAGTTTGATTGGAAATCACCAGTTTAATTTCAGAACACAATTGCTCGTCATAATGTTCGATTGACACTTTACTGTCGATATGATCTAACCTGGTCTCCTTGGCCTCGGCAAAGGCAATTTAACTGGTTGGGGCTTGTTTCTCACTGGTGTCCCAGGAGGAGGCCGAGGCCGGGGCCTTGGCCGAAGTGGTCTGGGCATGATTCCACCTGATGGACCTATTACCGTCATGTATTAAGACAGATGTTCCGTATGTGTTAAAAAAGACAGAAATTCGCATTATGATATGAAAGTTCAAGATAATCATTTATGAGAGACAGATCTTATCACCAACCTCTGGGTTTAATGAAGACCTTAATGTAGGTTCTAGGCTTCTTCGACTTTGTTCGACCAGCGATCATAAATTTACGAGGGCCTCGACGAGAGAGAAAACAAAGGCGACCGCCAAACACTGCAAAGGATCGGAAACGATTCCGCCGGGCAATGCGTTCGCATATCCTGCGTCCGTATATGGGATTCTTAATTCGAATTGGTCGGCCAAGATATTTGCGAGGTGGAACTTTGTAAGCGCCAACATATTTGTACGGACGTATTCCACCTATTGGTAACCAAAGGAGAATTGTAATGCAGTTTAGTTAAAATTGATCGATCAGTAGCTACATGATGGACCTTTTAGCAGATGTAGAGGAAAAAAAGGGGAACGTGGAAGAGGAATTCAGCCTTCTTTTCAGCTTTGGTTAATTCTTTCGAGCCTTGTGGCTCTCTACTACCAAAGCGTATCTCAGTTTCTGTAGAATGACTGGAGTTAGGTGTCTACCTGCTTCACCTGGATTGGCGGTTAGTCTTCGGGGGTAACCTGGTAGAATTTCATGAAGTTTCCCTTAACGGTTCACGAGTACCCATTTGCGTTCCTGGGTGGGGAGAGGCGTTACGAGATTGAAGTGTCTCGCCAAAGAGCAGGACAGAATTAACACGCAAGACTCAAACCCAGTCCCTCACAACCCGGCGTCAAAGCAACTCTTTCTTCTCAGAATTTTATAAATCGATTTATCCCTAACAAGGAAAATATCGCTGATAATTATAGTGAGTCAAACGTACCCGGTCGAGGTCTTCCTGGCACAGGACGAGGAACAGATTTGGGAGCTAAGAGAATTATACATACAGAAAAATACTAGTCAGAATTTGAACGAGTTGTCTTTCTCCCGGTAGAGTAGAATTCTCAGGGCTATGGTAGTTATTTATTGCAAATTACAATTCTTTCTTAAACTCCACCTGATCGGCTTTAAAAATTCCTTAAGTTCACCAACGTTTAAAGTAAAAAACTTAGCTTTTATAGACTTTCATCAAATTTTACATCAAAAATGCATTAAAAACATCAGTCCTAAATCTTTAAAAATCACTATTCGAACGAAAATGTTTGCCAAATACAGTTAAAATTAGCAGTATTTCAACACAGCTTAAAATTTTGTTCCAAGTACAGATGGCTCGTACCTTTGCAAGCTTTTTCCTTGATCGATCTTACGATGTTGTTCGCGGTTTTAAAGTGTGACGCAAACACGTGTCTCCTGGTGGTAGCCATCTGTCGCAGTTGCGTAACACTAAAACTTTGACCCAGGCCTACCGCGATTAACGTCACGCCAGCACGCCGTAACATTCGCGCGGGAGCCATGACCGAGTCGAGTGACTTGCCACTGGAGATCACTATGGCAACCTTCGGCCTCGTGGTACGTGCGAAGAGTGTGGCTGCGGCATATTTCAACGCTTTTCCCGCCATCGGTGCACCCCCCATGTACGGCACACGACCCAACGCTTTTACTAACGTTGCCTGATTCGTGAAGCGGTTGAAGTCGAACAATTTTCTGGGATTAGTACTGAATTCCACCATACCAAAACGAGTGATTGAGGTAGACACAGAGAATGATGACACGATTTGTTTCAAAAAGTTGCGAATGTAAAGGAAATTTTTCCTGTCAACTTTTGCAGAGGCGTCCACGATAAAGGCAATGTCTATAGGACGAGCACACACTGAAAGAATGAAATATATATATCGAAAGCGGCCTTTAAACATACGCAATAGTTGGTTGAGCTATTAACTATTTCAAATTATATAATAAGCTAGGTTATGCACGCATTCTGATTGGTTCTCACTTATGATCTATTGGAGGACAGACGTATAGATGAGGTCATCATCAAAACTTTTTTTAGTTCTTTATTATATAAAACAAATAGATTCCAAGTTTCCGTGCGTCTGTTCAGTAATAGATCACAGAAGACGTCAAAATGTGGTAAGAACAAAAAAGTGACACACTCAGCTGTGCCTCGTGTGCCACTTTTTTGTTCTTACCACATTTTGACGTCATCTGTGATCTATTACTGAACAGACGCACGGAAACTTGGAATCTATTTGTTAATTTAATTAATAGGAATTTTATCAAAACGATCCCCTTTAGTTTATGTTCAGTTCGTTTCAGAAACGAAGCCATTTTTTTAGTCGTAAGAGTCAGTTCATATTTGAAGTAATAAATACACATTTAAAAGCTGGTTTAATGACGTACGAATGTCAAAACGTGAAACGATAAAATCAGCTGTACTGACCTTTTCCATGAGGCCTTGGCTTTGGAAATTTTGGCATTATAACTGCAGATAATGATAAAAAATAAAATATTTCATTTAACACCATCGATTGTATTATAATTAAAAAACATGTTAGTGGACTCGTAAACCTGCTTTAAACATTAAATGTTTTGTTTACACTTAAAGATCGGTACGTTTAATTTTAAATACTTTCGCATCAGCTTGATTAAATAAAAAAAATAAGGAAAAACTCAACCTAATTTAAATTTATTTGTGATCTTGAAATTGACACTCACTTCCTGGCGGAGGCTTCACGAAGGGTCTGGCACCTAAAATAACAACGAAAGAAATGCGTGAATGAATATTGTGGTCCTAAAATTTTAAACCCGAGTCGTTCTCATATCTTCCTATCATCTCGTACTTCTCAATTTGTTAAATTCGGTAATTTTTATTGTTGAACAACGTGGGTGTTGCCACGAGTACTTTTGCTACATCATGTTACCTGCACAAGCCTTCCGCTGAACTGCTTTCGCAATGGACATTAGAGTTCTATAGCTTGAAGTGAACACAGCACCGGTTCGTTTTCCCGCCATTTGCCGCAGCTGTCCAATACTCGGTGCTCTTCCGGTGCCAATACTGATGACCTCGACACCAGCACGACGCAGGGAGGCTGCTGGGAGAGCAACATTATCGTATGACCTGTCGTGCGTTATTACAAAAAGAACTTTTCTGCCTCGAGAACGACCACTGAACAGATTGCTCTTGACATACATGAGGGCGGCACCAGTTCGAGGTCCGCCTCTGAAGAAAGGAGCGCTGCTGATGGCACTCAGCAAACTCCGTCTTCTTCCTCTAAAACTGAAAGGAATCATTGCGTTGAGAGATAAAAATGACTGCAATGTGTTATAGAAAGACGTCATTTCTTTTGTTTTACTCAGCGACCACGCTGGAGATAGCCGCCTTACCCAATAAGATTTTATTAAGTTGGTGACCAGTCACTAATTATAGCGGGGGAAGGGGGGATTGATTTTTGTGGGGAGATCACTTGGTTTTCTGGGGAACAGAGGGGGAATTAGTCGTCATCAACAGAATATAAATGGGAAGCTATAAAAAATAATTGAACGCCAAGAAACTGCCAATAAAAGCAGGGGTTTGAGAATATCTTGTTGTAGGGCCTTAGGGGGATCAGGTAAATTCTATCGTGACAAAACCAAAAACCTCCGACCCCCCACCCCCTAAGTCCCTCAGGTGACAATATTGACCGGTCTCTTAGATCATTGTCTGGTTTGAAATGCATCGAAATAACAACAATTACCTGTAAAATCCGAAGACTTTGGTGGCACGCTTGGAATACGACACGAGACCAAACCTAGCACGTGGGAATGACACCACAAGTCTCTTGATAAAACGAAGAGTGCGCTGGAAGTTACTGGAACTTATTCTTCCGCTCTCCAACAAGAATGCTATGTCCAGTCTCTTTTGGCATGCTTGGGAATAATGAAAAAAATAAACTCAGGTTTAAGAACTCGTCAAAAAGCTTATGTACACACAAAAAAAAATCAATGGAAAATATCACAGTTTAGTATATACTAGAAATATGAGGATAGCGTTGAAGGTGCGCTCTGATTTGCAACTCAGACTCCGAACATTCTTTGCTATTCACCTTCGAGCAACACGCGCGGAATTTGCGCCCGAAAATATTGTTATCGTTGCAGGGATAAATGAGTTAAAATCATGTTTTGTGCTACATCATCTCATTATTTTAGTATATACTAAAACAGCTCTTCAACTCAGTGTCCGTGGCTAACAGTGGATATCTATGATTACCTCGTCGCTTTGCAACCCAGTAAATTTTTATCATGGCCACCTCCACTCCGGTGAACAGTTGTTAGATACCGTTCGACAATTATTTTCCCTCTCTGATTGTGGTAAATTCAGGAATATGACATTTTTCAAAGTTAAAACTCACCTGGTCTGATCGGTTTTGGTGCAGATGAAATAGGAAGAGGGCCTTTGAAAGAAAACAGAGAAAAGAAATTGGTTTTAGAACATAAAAAATACATATCAAGACTGTTTAAAGTATACGTCACAAATCAATGGATTTACACAGTGCTATTAATGAATATGGCTCCTGTTTATTCGTTTCCAATTAAACGTTGTGTCCAGAAACCTTTTGTTTTACTATGAAAAAATACATAAATTCAAGATACTTGTTATAAGTTTCTATTTCGAGATGTTAACGAAGGAACCTAATTTGATGTGTCCTGTGTCACAAGCACTCTTAAGCATTTAAGAACCTTGAAAAGGCAATGGCTTGAAAAGGATCTGAACTGTACCACGCCAAAATAAAGTGGTTAAAAAAACAGCATTCTGAATCACCACGAAACGCGCAAGAAATCTCATAACCAATCCTACCGCGTGTTCTGTAGCACATCTTCTTTCTTAAAGCAATCTGCCTTCCTGTCAAAGCAGTATTGTAGATTTGCAGACAGGCCAAACGTCCTTTGAAACTCCTGCGACCCTTTATCTTAGCACCAAGCCTAACAGGATAATTAGTTGCCAAGCGTATCTTTCCCATCAGTTTTCGTCTAACCAGCCGGTTATTTACGTAAAGTCTCGCCACTCCTGTTCTTCGGTTGTATACCGCTGTCACGTAATTCCAACTTCTGCGGTATATTCTATAGATGAGAGGCGAGGTTAGACGGCGGCCTCGGCGTCGGACAAACCTGACAAACAGTTGCGTCGGGCTGACCATCCAAATCTGCATTCCCTGTCCCTTGGGGTTATAATTGACGAGCGGTCCTGGCCCCTGGGGATACACCCAAAGGGATACTGTGATGGAATTCACTGTGTCTAGTGCGCCGTTGTTTGGAAGGTGTATGTAACTGTTCGGGCGGCCGAAAAACTGATACGAACTTCTTTTCTTTCCGTCGGGGCCCGGAGCCGGACGAACGCTACCGAGGATGGCCCGAGGGTTTTTGCGAGCGCTCATGTCCCGTCCTTTAGTGGCGGCACTCAATGGGTAGACGGCGACAGGATTATAGGATGCTGCAAGTAGATGGACAAATATTTGACAATACGCTTTAGAGTTAAAATTTCTCTTTTGGCATAGAAATATGTTAAAACTGTTACTCACGTCTGGGAGCAGTGGGCCGTGTTGGTCTGAGGGTTGGTCGTGGCCGTACTGGAGCTGGAGCTGGCGAATAACAAAAATGTTATTTGGCTATTATCAAGATATTGCGCAGGATTACTTTGAAACCTAATATTAACATACAATACAACATATCCGACAAAGCAAGGTCTCCCATAAGGATTGCACAAACCCCTTGCCATTTTATAAGATAGTAAAACAGCTGAAGACATATGCGGCAATATGGTGCTTGCAAATACGATTTAGACAATTGGTTGTGAGATAACCGTGTCTTATTTAATCGGATTTTTCCTTTGACAGCATTAAGGGTGCAAAAACCCAATGCAGTGTGTCAAGTGGTAAGAGGGTACAGATAACATTATTTGCGAGGTTATTTCGTTGAACAAATTATTTAGCCTACATTCGCGCGCTCATTTCAGAAAGTAAATATGCCAAATGAAGTGTTTTAAACGGATATCTTTCCCGAAAGATCATTTTCAGCCACATCAAAGTCGCGCTGCACATTTTGAATGATGTTTCTTCAAATAGAAGTGAAGCAAACAAAAACAAAATTGTCAGCTGGATAAATAATCAAAGATAACTATCTTAGAAGGCTTTATAACTCACCCGCCTTGAAACATTTCTTAGCGGCACGTCGCACTTGCGCTGCAGTTAGCGCCACTGAATAGACTTGCAGACAAGTAACACGTCCCTTAAAGTAGCGTCTGTCCCCAGACCTAGCTCCCATGCGTACTGGATAGTTAGTGGCAAGTCGTATTCGACCGATAAATCTTTTAGCAATCTTTTTTCCATTTTTCCATAGTGCTGCTGTGCCCGTATTTCTGTTGTAACTTGCTCCGACAAATTGCCATTTTCTTAGCTGTATGGATCTGCTCCTCACAGGCGCGGTGTATTTTCTTCCCTTTCGACGCATAAAGCTGGCATACAACGTTCTTGGAGTTTTTAGCCAGAAATGGACTCCACGGGCGCTTGGATGGTAGTTAAATAAGGGCCCTGCGGTACCTTCAGGATAAATCCATGCCAAGACCGTCATAGAGTATGACGTATCGAGTGCACCTCCGCGCCTGTTAGGAAACTGAACGTAACTAGTCCGTTTTCCGAGAAGTTCAATGGACCCGCCTGGTCGGCCGAGAGGACCTGGAGCCGCACGAACATGATTGAGCCTTCCTGCAGGGCTCCTGTTTCTGAGGTCCCTTCCTCTGGCACCTTTGTTCAGTGGGAAGAACGCCACTGGTCTGGGAAGATCTGAAAATCGACGTAATTAGATTATCAATATTTACTCAATTTCTTTCTTAAATTTTTTCATAAAATTTATGAGCTGAGAAAAATGTAAACCTATGTTAGATTATCTAGGTGTATTCAGGTAAGCAGTAAAAGTATTTGATACTTACAAACTGGCCGTCCAGTTGATGGGCGTGGTCGAAGAGGACCTTTACCTATACATTTGGGAATCAACAGATAAGATCAGCTCACACTAAATATCTGTTAGCTTTTTCATTTTAACACTGATTGATTAACATTGATAATTAACAATGATACGCCTATCAACAAACTCAGCTAGGAATTGCTTTCACTCCAATGCAGCCGCGTTTCTCACGAGCAATAATCCATTTATTAGGAAATGAACTATCATTTGCTGATTTTTATGACGCTAAAATTTCTGGATAGATGATTGCTTTACAATGTAACTTACCTCGATATGTTTTACGCTAGAACTCATTGTTAGCAATTGTCACTTACGTTGTTTGAAGCAAGTCCTCTGTCTTCCTCTTATCTCCCTTTGGGTCAGCGCGTAGTTAAACACTTGGAAGCAAGAGATTCTTCCGGAATATCGGCGCTTATCTCCGATCTTTTCTCCCATTCTAATTGGATAATTGGTGGCTAGCCGAATCCTTCCGATGTACTTCCGTGCCACTTGATAGTTGTTGATCCACAATCTCGCCGTCCCTGTTTTCCTGTCGTAGCTACAACCGACAAATTGCCAACGATTCAATCGGATCCGTTTGCTTCGTAAAGCAACAGTGTAGCGCCGCCTTCGTCTACCGCGTTTTCCACGCCGCGTAAAGCGCGCCATCAAAGTCCTTGGCGTTTCGAGCCAGAAATGTACACCCCATCCGTTTGGATGATAGTTTGCAATGGGTCCAGGTTTTCCTTGGGGGTAAA